AAAGAACTTCCTAATAGTTTGACATGACAATGAAAGGGCTTTTTTTTTTTTTTTTTTTTTTTTTGTTTTTTTTTTTTTTTTTTTGAGATGGAGTCTCACTCTGTAGCCCAGGCTGCTGGAGTGCAGGGGCACGATGTCAGCTCACTGCAATCACCACCTTGCGTGTGCCAGTTCAAGCAATTCTCTTGCCTCGGCCTCCCGAATAGCTGGGATTACAGGCACGTGCCACCATGCCTAGCTAATTTTTTTATTTTTAGTAGAGATGGGGTTTCACCATGTTGGCCAGGCTGGTCTTGAACTCCTGACCTCGTGATCTGCCTGCCTCGGTCTCCCAAAGTGCTGGCATTACAGGCATGAGCCACCCTGCCTGGCCGAAATGGTCTATTTTATGAGTTAATAGTTCCCCATCAATGTGGGTGAATAAACAAAGGATGAAGAAATGATGAGCTGAGATTTTTCAATAAGTGTCAATGCATCGGATGGGTCATCTAGACCATGGAGCCTTCTATGTCCTCTCCATTCTTGAAAAAAACAGTATCTTTTAGACCTTGGGTATTGACAGCAACATGTATTTTATTATGGTATTACTTTCTGTAATATTAAACATACTTCAATTCGCATGTTGACAAATATTATTTATTAAATATATCTAAATACAGAATCTTTCAAAATTTAGAAATCTAAGCCTGAAAATCCCAATGATGCTAAATACTAAAAAGGGCATACAACCCACACTATAAAAAGCCAAAAACCAATGGAGCTTTAAGCTTAAAATGCCATGAATAAATATTTACATTACTCATGTAATAAAAATTGTAGATTTATGGGTTTGGGGGAGTCAGTTGCAAAAAAAATAATTAGTGCAAGAAAATGTATTTTAAAAAATTAAAGATTAGGAGAACTTTCAAGAAGAGATGGTGTATACTTGAAAGAAGTTAATTCAGTCTCCCTACTATTATTTAAGTTCAGTATTATATTTTTGACTCATATATGATTTATAATATATCTTCAGAAAATTTATGTGTTAAACATTTTTAAACAGTCTTTAGAAAAACTGTGGCTCATTCATCTCAAAATGAATTAATGACTTGAATAAAGATCTAAAACTGTAAAACTACTGAAAGAAATTATATAGGGAAAATTCTCCATGACACTGGCCTGGACAATAATTTTTTGGACATGACCTCAAAAGCATAGATAACAAAATAAAATACAGACAAGTGAGATTATATGAAGCCAAAAAGCCTCTCCACAGCAAACAAAACACTCAACATAGTGAAGAGACAACGTATAAAATGAGAGAATATGTTTGTAAACCAAACTGTTAGGGTGTTAAAATCTAAAATACCAAAATTCATAAGGAACTCAAACAACTCAACAGCAACAAATGACCTGATTTTAAAGTGGGCAAAAGACCTGAATAGCCATTTCTCAGAAGAAGTTTGATAATTGTGTATACACAATTATCAGAACAGCATGCTGTACTCTATAAACACGAATAATTTTGTCAAATAATCTTTTCTAAAAAGAAAATATGTGAGGCTTATATATGAACAACAGACATTAAAGATTACTAATCTTCTAAAAGCTTACAAGGACAAATCAAGAGTTAGCAACCTTTTTTTGTAAAGGTCCAGAGTAAATAATTTAGGCTTTATAGGTCATAAGTCTGTACTGTAAGTACTCTACTACAGTAGTGCAAAAGCAGTAATAGACAAAACATCAACAAATTAGTATGGCTGTGTTCTAATAAAGCTTTATTTATGGGGACTGAAAGTTGAATTTCATATAATTTTCACATGTCACAAAATACTACTTTTAAAGTATTTTCCTAATCATTTAAATATGTAAAAACTATTCTTAGACAATGGAATGTACAAAACCAGGTAGTGGGTCACATTTGGCCTAAAGGCCATAGTTTGCCAAACTTTGAGATAAAGAGGCTTTATCTTATAAACATCTAAATGAAGTAACACCCATATATGCATCCAACCTCTAACCAGTCTCTCTTCTCTGGTCTCTCCCAATTCCCTCTCCCCAAAGCCAAAACTTGTAAGGGGCTGCTATAGAAGATACAGTTAAAACAATTGGAGCTTTAAAAAACAAACAAAACAAAAATCTAGCAACAATAACAAAAACACTTATGAGAATCTTGTGTCAAGATGGTAAAGCTAAAATTGGAAAATGACCATAGAGGATGGCTTCCAGCTCTGATCTTACTTTGGCTCACCAAAGACTCTTCACATCATTTTGATAAACAATGTGAAAGATTAATAGGCACCCACTCCTTAAATACTTTTGAGAAAGTAAAGACTTATGATTCATTTGAACTTTTACTGTCCATTAGTCCTTGCAGCTTGTTTTTTAGTTCTGACTTAGCTGAGAAGAGTAATATTAGAAGAACAGTAGTCATAACTAGGAAAAATGGAGAATGAAGTAATCCACAACCATTTGTAACCTTTCTTCTGAGGGTATTTTTGGAACACTAGTCGTTTGAATATTGGAAGATATGTATATTCAGCTTTTATTAGTAGACATTTCTAAATACTGCTAATTAAATTTTTCCCGTGTCATAAAACTTTCTATAAAACTAACTTTTAAGCTGGATGCTGTAGTGTACACCTATAATCTTAGCTACTTGGGAGGCTGAGGCAGGAGATTGCTTGAGTCCAAAGATTCAAGCCTTCACTACTTTATGATCTGTGAATACATTGCACTTCAGCCTGGGCAACATGTCCAGACCTGCATCTCGAAACACACAAACATCAAAACCCAACTTTACTTTGCAACAATGTAAGGAAACAAAATGTTATGTCTTATTTAGCTCATTAAGCACATTTCCTCTTCCAGAAAAAACAGTAAAGAAAATGAATGCCAATCTACAACCTTCATGAGTCTAACACAATGATAACACATAATCCTGAAACCAAAATTATTCAAGACTTCTTGAATCATTTCGTAACTTTCACAATTTTCCTCAATTGCACAATCTTTTCATAGATGGCTTAAAGTAAAATTTTTGGAGTCCTACAAATTTCCCACTATAAGAAAACTAGGTTTATAGGCTAGGGATAATGCTTATAACTCAATAGTTATTATTGGGAGCCTGTTACATGTAGGCATCAGGACTAAAAGTACCCAAAGAAACTGAATTCAAAGATATTCACAAAACTAAACTATTTTGAGGCTTGCTTAACACCTTAGAAAGAAGACATGATTTTTCCTTAATATTCAACATAAATGTATAAAATGTCATGAACTGAACACTTCTAAAGGGGCCACACAGCAGCAATGAATAACATAAACTCCAAAAGTTTGGGCATTTAACTATTATTTGGGCATCAATAATAAATTAGCTGTTTGTTTCTAAGGAAATCCAGACCATCAGCAACCAATCTAAAGACAATGAGCCTACTTGATACCACACAATCCCGTTAATCTTCATCTGTCCCACCACATCCTGTCACTCACGCAAAATGAACAATTGAGGGTGGAACTTCAACTTCTCTTCACTATCTAAGCAGGAGGTAGATAAAAAGCCTAGGGGACTTAGGGACATCAAGGGCAATTATTTCACTCAGCCTAGTGTGCTACATCATAGTGAATGAGTCTGACATGTAAATGTGACATAGCAAGGAATAGAATAATGCAATTCTTGAACTATGTGTCTCACTTTCTTTGCTGAATCACCAGAATCCCCAAGAAACTTCAGCTTTAGTCTCCCCGGAAAACATGACACTGAAACATTGTCAAAAAGAAAACACTAAATAGGCACAATACATGGGTAACATAATGATACCAATTTCACTCCTGTAACAGTCCAGGAATTCTCCCTGTTCTAACATATGAACTTAAAATCATCATGACATAGAGGCTGTGGGGTAATCGGCAACAAGATTGTAAAATACGCTAGCTAATTGAAAAGGCCAAATGCCTTGATGTAATGTAGCCAAAATTACACTACATGTATATTTATTTGACCCTGGAATGGTCTTTTTTTTAAAACCAGTTTTAGACTAAAAACATAAAATGTATTTTACTCTTTGTCACCTCTTTTATTCCTACTACAGTTTCCTCCAGACAATAAAGGTAAAAACTGTGTATTTTTATTTCATAACAGAATGTTGTTTTAATTGTCCTTAAAACTGTTTGGTTTCTACCACCACATTCATGGCACATTTTGAACATTATGTCCTAATCATACAAGTGGGAAAACATCTTTATAGTTCTATTAAACAATGTAACTAAAGTTCCACAGTAGTTCTTCAGAAAAAAGCTATGTGGAAAGGAAACAGGCTTAAAATTGTACTGCATATTCTCTTATATTTAACAAACTTTGGAGAACTTGACAAGGACATACACTTTTGATACAGTATATATCATCTTAGTAATAAAAGTATAGTTAAAAAATTCATGTTTCATATGAATATGGAGTTCTACCTGAAACAGAAATGAATTAAATATTAAACTTTTTTACAATTATCACTAAATACTGAAAGCCCTTTCCTCACCATAACTACAGAATATATGCAACACATTTAGGCCATGGTTCAAAATAAGAAGGAATCGGCAAATAAAAAAGAGGAATGTGAGGAAAGTGTGAATAAAAGATAGTATTTTTTGTGCGGGGGGATATAAACAAAGAGTAATTTTGTATGAGGGATTTTGCATGGTGGATTCTTGTCCCAGAGTAAAGTTAACTGACTCTTTGAGAGGGAGATGGTACAGGACAGGTCACAAGGTCCAGACATGTCGTGGATGCTCTGTATGGATGATAATGGTGTTTGTAAAAGGGAATTTGAGAGGGGAGTTTGGTATGTGATTAAGCTGGCTGTGACTGAAGGAAAACTGTGGTAGACATTCTAGAAAACAGTCTATGTGTTGGAACCAGGTTTTCTTAAGATATTAATTCGCTAACTTGCCAGAATTTTTGCTTTTTAATTCTGTGATTTCTTTTGAAAGCTTCTCAGATTTGTGTAACTCTCTCCTTATTTTTTTTGTCAGCTCCCGTGACTTGTTTCTCCTCTGGTTCTGACTGCTGTTATGGCCTGATACTAAAGTGTTTTGCCTTAGAGGTCTATGGGAGCACTGTTTTCCCCCAGTATAGCTTGATTCTATGCTCTTGGTTTTTCTTGATATATAGCCTTATTTTTGGCTTTTAATATTTGACTACTATATTGTTTAAAAGAGTTTTAAGCCACCTCCATTCCCCTCTGCCTAAAATGTTTAACTGGTTATAAGTCTTTTGACTTATGAGTTCCCTGGCCAAAGGAAATCCCATATAAACCTAAAAAAAACTAATTCAGAACATGATGGGAAATAGGGAGGGGCTGGACATGCTTCACTATGCCACACCTGCCCTTAGAATTTAGGCTAGGTTCAAAAGGCCTTACAGAATTATGAAAATAGGGTGTTGCCCTCTCCCACAAAGAAAAAAATAGCCCCTGTTTAGCCAGACTTAGTCTTACTGAAAACTTAAAGATCCCCTGATGATCAATTACAACTAAAAACAGAAGGACCTCTATCAGGCATTGTTAAGGGCCTCCACTGCTGTTAAACATCAGATAATCACTAGCTGGGCACACCTGTCCAGGATTAAACCTATTTCTTGTAAGTCCCTGCAGGCATAAGAGGAAGACACCATGAGCAATACTTACAAAACTCTAGAATACTTAAAGCTATTATTTCACAAACACACAGATAAATAATGTGATGATGTAAGTGGGCATGGGAGCATTAACTTTTCTCTTCCAATTTTCTTGTTTAACCTCCTAGTAAAGTTTATATCTTTTAAAGTCTACATAAAGATGATGCTGGCACAAGGCTTCCAACCCATCTTATCATCTGACCCAGAAAATGAAAACAATCTGCCGTTGGGCCTTTTAGATCAGTTATCCAGAGTTTACTCCTCCCATGCTAGGCAGAGCCTATGTCATAAAATCAGCAGGAGGCACTTACAGAAGACAGATCTGTGACCTTAGGCAGCCCTTTAAGATTAAGGAGGCATTCCTCATTCTCCTTATGGGGAGGAAATGAGGTAGGAGACCAACAGGACTTGTTTTCTCGTGACAACCCTGCCGAACAAAACAGGATCTAGTCTGGATGGGGCAAAGTGAAGAAACTGGCCAAAACCAGTAGACACAACAAAAGCGATCTCTAGCTGTGCTCACTGCCCACTGGCATAGGACACTGCTACCAGAACCATGGCAGTTGACAAATGTCACTGTAGTGACTCAAAAGTTATCACACCCCTTTCCATGGCAGTGACCCAGAAGTTCCCACTCCTTTCCTAAAATCAATTTGTATTAACTCACCCTTTAATTTGCATGTAACTGAAAGTGGGCAAACTGAGTGTGCTGCTTATAAGTTAGCCCTGCACCACAAGGAGCAGTACCAATCAATAAAAGATTGCTGTCTAACACCACCACCAGGCCCTTGAATCCTTTCCTGGGTGTAGCCAAGAAGCTTCCCAGCCTAAGTCCCAATTGTGGGGCCAGCCTGTCCCCTATCACCCTGATAGAAACATATCTTCTTCCAATTATTCAATCAAATGTTAATCTAGATGCTACTGTGAAGGGCTTTTGTAGGATCCTGAATCAGCTGACTTCAAGGTCCAGACATTATTCCTCGATAAGGCTTAACCTCAACAGATGAGCCATCCAAAAGGACAGGGCTTCTCCTGGCAAAATAAATTTGAAGTGTGACAGGGATAAAACATTCCATTGCTGTTTCTGATGGTAGAGGGGGCCGTGTGGCAAGGAATGTTGGTAGTCTCTGGGAGCTGAGAGTGGCTCCTAGCTGATATCAAGTAAGGAAATTCAGTCTTTAGTCCTCAGCCCTGCAGTCACAAGTGAGTTATGCCACAATTACATGAGCTTAGAAACATGAGCTCCTAATGAGAATGCAGACTACCCAACACTGTGTTTTCAGTCTTTAGTTTAAATCCTGAGCAGGCAAACTAGTCATGCTGTGCCCACATTCTAACCTAAGAAATGTGAACAAATGGGTGTGAAGCTGCTAAATTTGTGGTAAAGTACCACAAATTTGCTTCTTACACAGCAAGAAAACAACAATACAAGCACTAAACAGGCCAAGTCAGACAGCTTGATTTAGAAAAATGCAGTTACGTTTATCGTAAGCCTTAAATCCTACTTGAAGAAATATATATAATATTGTGACATGGTAAAAAGCCCCATAAAACTGCATACCTCAACCATATCTCAGCTTTCTGTTGAAACTGCTTTCTATAACCCAAATGTGAATAAGTAATTAAGGATTATAATCGCCACCTTACCCAGATAATGTGTAAACAAATGTTAATCTTGACTTCTGTCAACCACTTAAGTAACAATCAGAATGCCAAAAAGTCCCCTGGCCCTTGGAGTGTCCGGAGCCCCTCACCCTATCTTCGCCCAGGAATCCACTGGAATGTCCAGAACCCCCTCACCCTCATCCCCGCCCAGGGGGTGATTTACAGAATCCACTAGCCCTCAGAACATCTGAAGCCCCTCACCCCCACCCCTGCCCCTCACCCTCACTCCTGAGGTGGTTTTACAGGTATAAAAGGTCTTGACACCCTCCTTTCAGGGCCACAGGCTGAAGAGACTCGAGTCCTCCGTGGACGCTGGCAATGAAGACACTGCAATTTGGCATACTTTTGTCTTGGTGTTGACTTTCTATGCTTGGGCCAGTACAACAATATCAAGGACACAACATTAGGAAACTAAAGAAGGCTACTAGCAGATTAGGCTTTAATGACAAGAAACCTAAGACATTTTAGAGCTCATTAACCACCGGGAAACCAGGAAACAAACGTCATAAAAATACAATTAATTCTTACCAGAAGAAAGATTTTTCTGGATTCACCACCTTTATTTGTGAAACCAGAGGCAGAACTAGGTAAACTTTAATGGCTCCTTCAGCAGTTTCTACAGTCCTTGTTCATATAAAGTCCCAACCTTTATATAGACTTCAGAGATGTCTTAACACCAATCCATATTCTATAAATACTCAGAACTCACCTATCTTTTAATAAAGTATTGCATCAATAAGGGAATGATTTTTTAAGATCCAAAGCTTTCCTGCATTTGACCAAAGGATCTTTATCACATAGCAAAACACCTAACCAAACCAAAGCAAGGCTTTCTTACCACATAATAGTTCCAGTCAAAGGGGTCTTTTTTAAAAATCACACTTTAAAAACTGAAAGTATGTGTATACATGCACAGGAAGAAAGTAGCTCATAAAGTCCCACATGAGGCAATAATGCTGACAATAACAAAAAAGAGAAACTGGTTCATGCTCTGAGAGCAAATGTTTACTCCCAACTTAAATCCTTATAAAATATTACATATTAGATATAAATGAAGCACTTAAATTACTTAACTCCTTTATTAAATGATGACCTAGGGAAAAAGTGGTAGTAATAGTTTGAAAGGATTGGTTTTGCACCTATACTACTTAATGTGACAGCCTGAGTAACTTCTTAAAAAAATAGAAGAATTCTAATTATTTTGAAAACAACAATTAGGACAATATTTCTTCAAAGTTACTGTGTTGATAGTAACTAGTGTCTAACTAGTGCTAGCTAAGTAGATAGAATGTACCTTCATATAGATGAAAATGATGAAAACTCTGGAATAATAAATTAGATGAAACAAAGAATTTCAAACTTCAATTCCCTAGAGAAATATGCTAAAAGATGCAAAATGGGGGATATTGAAGAGTTATGAAATAGTTTCACTAATAATGAATCATAAGCAATAAAAATGTAAATAAAGCTTTTCTTTGTTCTCTTCATTTCTATTAGTTTAAGATCCTTTGTAGGACAGTTCCCTGAGTGGTCTTGGACTGACCCAGTCTCTCTCTCTCCTTGTAGTTCACAAGAATAACTGTAGCATGTGCAGGAAATGCAACATCCTGAGATGGGGAGGGACTGGATGGAACAGCCCAGGTTCTGCTCCAGTCCTCCCCTAGAAACAGGATGTTCTCTAGCTCTTGTGCCCAATGAGTCTCACATTCTCAGTATATAAAACCCAAAACATGGCGCTTTCCAGGGGCCCTCAGCTGCAGTGCAAGCGAAGCACATGCAGCCAAGACTCCATTCACCCGAGTTAGCTTTCCTGAGCCTTGAGAGACTGGCTTGCAATGAATCCTAGGCTTCTACTGTATCTTGCTGCCCATCTATAACTGGGAAACTTGCTTCGTATAACCTGTATGCAAGAATGTTCTGTCTTACTCAGAGAAGATGGTAACCAGTCCACAGTGAACCTGCTTTACACTCTTCAACATCCTCTAAATGAAAAACTGATTAAAAAGTAATTTGACAAAAACAAAAACCTGATAAAATCAAACAAGCCAGTTCCTGATTTTATAATATCCACAATGGCTTCTCTCTTACCTTGTCTATTCTATCTGGGCGATTAGTAGCTGCCAAAATGGTCACATCCTTTAGCTGTTCAATCCCATCCATTTCTGTTAAGAGCTGAGCCAAAACACGATCAGCTACATTCCCAGCACCTAAAGAGCTGATTTGGAAAATACAGCTTTAAAAATCTCTTTACCTATCTTCAAATACTATATCTATTAATTTTTAAAGGTTCTATAGTCTATAACAAGAAAAATCATGTCTGTTTTCAAATATGAAGTGTGCCTTTTAGACTTTATTTATTGCATTATCATATCCCAAAACAAACTGTATTCAAATCACTTATTTTCCTACTTTCCTCATCAACGATGTTCATTTTCATTCCAAAACTAAAATATTTAAATAAATGTCAGAAATAAAAGCACTGGAAAACAAGATATAAGATTATTTAAAATAATTCATCAAATACATACAGAATTGTTCAATGTTTGTATTCAACATGGCAAATACATTGACAGAAATTGGGAATGAAAAACTGAGTAAGATGCAAACCCAGTCCTCACATGAAACCTAAAGTCTATGTGAAATAAAAAAACTCATTACACATCCATAACAACTAGGATATTTCGATGTTTCTTCATAAATATTAAGAATATTTTAAAAACACATCAGACGGTAGGTAATTACCACAATCCCCATTTCTTGAGAAATAAGCAAAGAAAGCATGCTAGTTTTTCTTCTTTGGTTTAGGTACCAAGTCAGTTATAAAGCCAGTTCTAAACATACTACCCTTTAACTTCATGTCCTTTGACCACTAAAAAATTACTGAATATAAGTTCTTAAAAAATAAACGGGCCAGATGCAGTGGCTCATGCCTGTAATCCTTTGGGAGGCCGAGGCAGGTGAATCACTTGAGGCCAGGAGTTCAAGACAAGTCTGGCCAACTGGGTCAAACCCTGTCTCTACTGAAGAAAAACACAAAAATTAGCCAGGTGTGGTGGCACGCACCTGTAATCCCAGCTACTCTGAAGGCCAAAGCATGAGAATACCTTGAACCTGGAGGCCAAGGTTGCAGTGGTCAGATATCACGTCACTGCACTCCAACCTAAGCAATAGAGCGAGATTCTGTCTCAAAAAAAAAAAAAAAGAAAGAAAAAAGAAAGTAAACTCAACAAATCCTACTAATGAACAAATCCTTGATATCACACAATCAAAATGCACAAAACAATTCTCATTAGCAATAGCTTGAATTTCCTAAGACTTATTCAGAATTGATAAATATGTAATAAACAACTGAGTGGACAACTATAGAGTAACACAGCATTGTAAGTGTATTAAACATTTAAATTCAATTAGACGCACTTGGGTGGGTGGGGTGGAAAAGGACGTAAAGTAGAGGGAAACAAATACCCAATAATTTGTTAGCACCTGTGACAAAGAAGAGACCCTCAGTATAATTATCATGTAATATATTTAGTATTAAGGTAATCAGGGCCTCTAAATGACAGTATTTAGACCTCAACATGCATTATAAGTTCAAAAATTTGACTTAATGTATCCATCTAACTCAAACTAATCAAATGCACATGAGATTGTTATACAAATCACAGTCTCAATTTATTAATTTACATGTTTTTCTCCAGTATTTAAAATATATGGGACCAAAGAGTACTTGGGAAGTCACTGAGAACTGTTTTGGGTACTAATTCTTACAGGTAGCTACTCTGCAGGTAAACAATTTTATTTGACTCTATGTAGGAACGATGAACATTATAAACAAATGGATTCTATATCTGTATTAGACTGTTCTCACACTGCTATAAAGTACTACCTGAGACCAGGTAATTTATGAAGAGAACAGGTTTAATTGACTCACAGTTCCACTTAACAGGAAGCATGACTGAGAGACCTCAGGAAACTAACAATTACAGCTAAGCAAAAGAGGAAGCAAGCACTTTCTTCACATGGCAGTAGTGGGGAGAAAAAGAGAGTGAAGGGGGAAGTGCCACACATTTTTAAACCATCAGATCTCATGAGAACTCACTCAATACCATAAAAACTGCAAAGGAGAAATCCATCCCCATGATGCAATCACCTCCCACCAGGAGTCTCCTCCAACACTCGGGGATTACAATTCAACATGAGATTTGTGTGGGGACACAGAGCCAAACTGTATCAGTATCCTTCAAAAGAGTCTCCATAACATAATTTTTCCATATGGGAGTTTAACTGTCAAGTAGAAACACAATTGGCAAAAGCTTTAGGAGGTCTTTCATAATTACTACACACATAGTAAATATTTCAGTCTGCCAATAAATTATATCGGAAGCCTTTAATTGTATCTACTCTGCTAATCACTTGTGATTCCATACCACAAAAAACTCAGGAAGGTGATATGGGCAGGTCTCGGGAAAGCCAAAGTGGGCTGTCCCAAGAAAGATGGTTTATCAGGTAAAACCTTAAAACTTGGTGGGTATTAGGCAAGCAAAGGGTGAAAGGAGGGAAAGAGAGAATACAGGATACTAAAAAGTGGATAAAGTGCAAAATGGCTCAGCATAGCAGTAAGGTAAAAATATAAAAGATTACTATAGAAAAATAAACCAAGGCTGAACAACGAAGACCTTGTTATTAATATCATGGAGTTTGGATTTTATGCTATAGTTAATGGGATGTTTCAACTAGAGACATGATCTAATCAGAGTTGTGTTTTTGAGAGACACCATGGCTGCCTGCAGTATAGAGAAAAGACTATAAAAGGATAGTATTGGCCCAATTTCTGGTTCAGAATGTTAGGAGCTTGGAAGTCTTCACTCTGTCCTAACAGCAAGTAAAAAGCTGAACAAACTGAAAAACCAACTCTTCTTAGATCCATCATATTAGTAAGTTCACAGGGCAAAACTGGAGAGACAGATAGCCCAGGTACAGAAAATCACAATTTTCTGGAGCAGAAACCCACAAAGAGAAACCTCCATGAGAGCCACTGCTAGGGTAGGAAAACTGGAAATGTAATTAACAAACTGTGGGGGTTCAGTGTTTGACAAATCAGAGAGTCACGGAAGGGGGGCCCTCACACATTTGTGAGTTTTATCTTCAGGAACTACACCAGCTTCTCACAGTGAAGATCTGAGAAAAATCCCCCTGTGCTTCTGGCAGGAGGAAGGAAATATACCCACTGTGAACTACACTTAGAGCATTCTTTTCTGAAAAAGGCCTGCTCTTCAAGAGAAAATATTTTTTCTCAGAGCTTATGTTACTGAGGTTTTATTAGAGACCGGTGACCCAGAAGAAGAGAAATATCCAACTTTAGCACTTTCTAGCCTTTCCTATGGGAGAAGAAAAATAAAAAACTCCAGCCCCTTCTAGCCATCCTGTCCCATCTAAGGGGAGAAAACCATGAAGTTCAGAGTCAAATGGTATAGACTCACTAAAAGACTGAGATCTAATCACAGGACCATGGAACACTCCTTCCCCTACTCTCCCCAACACCTATTATATCACTAAAGCCCTACTTACTGCAGTTCCTTTTATACAGTATATCTTCTCTGGTTATCAAAGAAAAATTACAAGGCATGCTAAGAGCTATGGAGCAGATACAAAAGGTGTGGCACGTGTAATAGGAACACCAAAAGAAGAAAGAACAGAATCAACATTTGAAGAAACATTCACTGAGAATTTCCCAAAAGTAATATCAGCTACACATCCAGGAAGCCCAGGGAACACCAAGCAGAATAAATGTTAAAAAAAAAAAAAAAAAAGCTACACGTTAAGCAGAAAGTCAAAGATTTTTTTAAAAACCTGAAAGAAGTCACATGTCGAGGGGTGGGGACCACCTTACAGAAGAGAAAGAATTACATCACCTTCTCCTCACAAACCATGTGAGCAAAAAGAAAGTGAAGTGAAATATTTAAAGTATTGAGAGGAAAAAAAACACCAATGTATAATTTTATATCCTGCAAAGACACCCTTCAAAAGTGAAGGAGAAAAACTTTCTCAGACAAACAAAAACAAGGAATTTGTTGCCAGTGGAACTGCCTTGCAAGAAATGTTTAAAGAAGTCCTTTAGAAAGAAGAAAAATAATATAGGTCAACTTAGCTTTTGTTTGGGGGGTAGGTGCTACAGGATTCTATACAGCATTTGTCCTTGATAATACAGAATCATCATTTATATGCTCTAAGTATGGTTGTAGAAACACAAGATTTGGAATCTAGTGACTCAGGTGTTTGCTTACTCAAAAAAAAAAAAAGACTGTTAAATTACCCTTTAATAAAATAAGTGTGACTGAATGACCTTTGTGCAGAGAGTAACATGGAGACCTTTCTACAAATTAATTAATAAGCTGGAGTGCAAAGGCATGATCTCTTCCTAACCAGCGGAGTGATCATAATCTCTAGCTGCTCTGAGTTTCTCTTCCCTTATTCAAAAAACGATCTGTGTGCATCTTTACTAGGCACTGTGGTGGGCATCTGAGGTAAGAGGATAAAAACATCTTCATTTCCTTGAAGATTTCATTCTTGCTGGCAGGTATGAATGAGGGAGCAAAATTAGATAAATTTAGACATAGGTCCTTTTGAGTTTTAAAATTCTGTGATTCTATGCTGTTATTATGTAGCATCTAAGTGAAGCTACTTAATTCATTGCTTTTAATAAAATATCCATATTTAGAAATGTATTATTGACACCTCCAATCAGGTACTTCTAAATAAAAGGCAGTGAAACTCAAACTTTTCTTCTTTCTAAAGAACTTCTTTCCAATTTGCTATTTGTTGTAGGAGGAAACAGTGGCTGTAATTAATGTTGAAGATTAGGTGATGATAATTCTTTGCATTCCTATTACCCATACTGCATTTGCTCTTTATTGCCACAGATCATTGAGCGCTAGCTGGAAAAAAGCATAATGAAAATGTTTTATGAACTGAGAAATATTCTTGGCTGACTTTCAAAGCTTCAGTAGGAAACAAAAACCATAAAACTGACATCCTAGAAAATCAAAACCAACTCTATGAAAAAGTTTAAATACAAACGTTTAATCACTAACATAATGAAATGATTTCATAAAACTTTATTATCTGCTAGACAAGCACAACACAATAGGGGAAAATGTTCAGCTAATATGTAAGCCAGACATCCCCAAAGCACTAACTCTTTTTCCCTTCAAAAGT